AAGAATATTATAATACCGAAGTAAAGCAAAGGTGGTATTGTTTTATGGAGTATTAAATAATTTTTTAAAAAAAATCTATTGTCTTTATCTATTATCTATTAGGACCCGGATAATATTAATAGGGGGTACGGACAAGAAATTTTAAAATTTTGACAGATGTTATATTATTAAAAGGCTTTTTAAACCGGCATTAGTAAAAAAGTCATGTACTTAAAACGGACATGATTTATTCTAATGTTATAAAAGAATGCATGTATCATATTTTCTGAAAATCCGAAAAGTTCCGAAGTAGAAAATGAAAGAACCTAAAATATGAGAGATTGGCCAAAATTTTTTTGCAAAACTCCCGAAATATTCCGAAATAAATTTATATGCTATATAATTAAGATGGGTATGTAAATCGTAATTTAGAGGATACAAGACTTAAATGGACAAAATGCCTGAAAATTTACTATTAACTCAACTCGGGTCCTATCGGTCAACTACAAACATAGTGAGATCATATAATAAATATTTTTTATCGACAAATGTTATTAAGTCTTGAAATTTATTATATATTTTAATATCAATACCGTTTGTGTTGTTTGAGTACAAATGACTTTTATTGACATTGCTTTTGCATCTTTGTCGCAATTATTAGTAGAACATTATATAAATAACAGTATTAAACCAAATACGTTTTGGCAAAATAAAATCTAAATACTGAATATTAAAAATGATATTTAATCAAAAAATTTGATATCTAATTTATCTGGTTGCCTACTAGCATCAGGCAAATTTTTTTAGTGCAATTCTGTGCAGATTTGCAAAAAAATTAAATATAAATTAAATGAAAATCTGCACAAAACTTCAGACACAGCAGCAAAATTTCAAATTACGAAAAAAATTTACACTTAATTAATTTTCTTGATGTAAAAATAATTTAAATAGACAAATCGGGCCAACTTAACTACCGGGAAAACGGCTGCTGAGGAATGAGACTATTGGTTTTCCAACTAGCTTAACACTAAACACTTAATTTAAAAAAATGGGTTATTGTGAACGTTTTGTGCAATGCATTTTGTGACAATGCTTTTTTTTTTTTTTTTTTAGAACGGAAAGTAAATATTCCGCTAACAAAAAAAATAATTTCTATTTGTAAATGGGTATATAGAAAGCCAAACAGATTACACGATTTGGTATAACGTAAAACTATTGCTTTCTCAAACCCTAACCTTAGGTAGTGTTTAATTTTTGTTTTTTTTTTGTTTTTGCAAAATGTGTTGATTTTACATATTACACAGTTTGCAAATTTCACCCAGATAATCAGAATTGAAATTAAAAATTTCTTAATTCATTCATTTATAGAAAAAGAGATAAGGAAGCGTTTAAAATCATATAAAATGAAATCCAAATACGGTTAGACTCCCTTAAATGCAACCCCCTAAATGCAATTAAATGCACGATGGAGGACTAGTCTCACAATGGGACCTGTAGATAAATGCATCTGTAAGTGCACACTAATTGTCTGCCCACTTATAAAAACTCACGCCATAAATGCATCCCAATCAAAATCATTATTTTTAGGCTATTAAATCCTTATTTATCACGTGATAATAGTCACATAATGATTTTATTATTGTTTTCTAATTGCAATCCTCCCTAAATGCACGTTCTAAAGCTGGTCTCGATGATGTGCTTTTAGGGAGGTCTGATTGTATCATTATCGTGCATTGTTTTTCTTTTGGTGTCATATATTTAGTGTTTCATTTATATTTATAAGTTTTCTGGCAGACCTTTTTTTTTCATGAGTGATTTCACCCATTTTTCATTATGTGGATGTTTAATATCTTTCGTTCAATGGTAAATACTTAAGAGTTTGTGTATTACTCTAACAAAATTCGTTAAAGCCGGATACTCATGTAATAAAGCATTACTATCAAAGTAAATGTAATAGATAAATGTTTCCTTGACATCTAATCAATTTTGAAATAGTATTTTCATCGTTTTTAAATCAACTCTTTTTTTTATACTATTGTTTTCAAAATGGTTAATCTGAGTTTATATTTTAAAAAATGATAGTAATAAAAAAAAATTGATTTGCCAACCTATATAGCGATAGAAGTATCCGGTTTTAAATAATCTCATTTTTGCAAATGATATACAATATAAAAGACATTTATTTTAAATCCTCAAACTTTAATATTTTAGTTCCTAGAATCAAAAAGGTTTTGGCGGCTTAGATTTTTGTTTGGTTTTACAGTATTCCTTCTCATTATGTCATATATAATATATCTCATAATTCAAATCGTCACTGACAAACCATTGATTCAATTAACACGCGAATACTTAAATAAACTTAGTATCCCAGGTATATATAGAATACTAATGGTGTTAAAAATTTATAACCAATAATTTAATGGGTTAACTAGTTTTCTTTTTTACAAAGATATAGAAATATGTTGTAGTAAAAGTGACGTTCAAATAACTAAATGTGTTTTCACGCTTGATAACTGGACATCAACTACATTTGATAATTGTACCAAGTTTATTCAACGTTCCCGTGTAGAAAATGGCATATATTGTTATCTTTTTGAGAATAATTATACCTATTTTTTTGGGAATCCAGACATTAACCTTACGGGTCCATGGGTGCGAAACATTGATTTTTATTTCAAAATAGACAATATTACCAATTTTACTTCTGCATTCTTATCTGTGGGTGCTATTTCCGTACAATTAATGGATCCAAGTATGTTAATTTCTGGTTTTTTTTTATTTTCTATATAAGTGTTAGATCGATCCTTAATTGATAATTGATAATCGGAAATATACAGATTTTAATCTCTTATGGAAAGAAAAAGCAGCAAGTACTGCAGATGTGTATGAGAATCAAATACTAAAAATGCAAATGAATGCATTTTCTGGTATTCAAAATATGTCAACTATGGTTCAGTGTCTATAATTTATTTTCATAATATGCAAAATTTTCTAGCTTTAACCTACTCTTAATATATTTAGGTTTATTTTACGAAACAAACTATTCAAACTATTTTACCTCATGATGTTTTCGCAATTATCGGAACATCTCCTAATTATCATAATATATCTTACTTAAATGTGATGTCAAGATATTTTCCAATGCATCCAAATGCAAATATCTCTGCTGGAAATTTTCATGGTCTTTTTAATGTTGCTCCGGGCAGTTTCATTAATGAAATACAATCTGAAAAGCCGTAACTATGCAAACTATTTTACATTTATCATTTTTAAAATTATTACTATTATATTAAAGCTCTTTTTATTATTATTATTATTATTATTATTATTATTATTAGCTCACATACTATTCTTATTGCCCTGGGTGTGCTTGGTGGTGGTTTTGGTGAGTTGAAAAAAAAAATGAAATTATTATCAAAATAAACACTTTTTAATATACGGTATTACTTCATTTTTTTTGTCCAATCTTGATATATTGATAGGATTAATAAGTGGATTTTATATCTTTCTTTTTGGACGTCCAAGAAATAATCCTTGGTAAAGTTGTAAAAAAGAAAAGTTTGTGTTAAAAAATTTTTTCTTAAATATTAACCTAATTTTTTTTTTTCATCTTCTAAAAGGGGTTTAATGCATTTAATAATGAAGCCGAAAATAAAAAAAACTGATGGCCAGGTGGACTTATTTAATATGCCATTTGCCTCAAAAACTGATCCAGTACTTGAAGATCAAATTCCTACCGAGGCAAAAGTAACTAGATTAGAAAATAGAATTTTAGCACTGGAGAAAATTTTAGAAGATTATGTTTTTAATCCATATGCTATAAAAGCATTGACGCTGACTCGTGGAGAATCTGATAAACATTAATTGTTTACTTTTAATATATAACTTATATTCTTTCATAAGTTTCAGATATTTTTATTAGTTAAAACTTAGCACAGCAGCAAAATCAAAACTTCAGCTATTCTTCAATAATAGTAATAATACTAATAATACTGTAATGATAATAAAATTAAAAATATTTTTATTAAGTGAAAGTAATTTATTTCATGCACTTTTAATTCTTTCTGTTAGTAAAAAAATCGAAACCTTTAACGAAAATAAGTGCTTCTGACATAATCAATAAATTTTGCCAAGACCTACGTTTACGAGCTTGAAATTTTAAATATACTCAATGCTGTTTCAAAATTGCTTAACTATATCCTGGGCTACTTTGGTTTAAAAACAATTGCCATGAACATTTGAAATGGTTAAAGTTCATTTTTATTGATACTGATACAATATGCAAATATATAAAATGCTACTATTTAATAGATTTGTTTTAATACTAATATAATAATGTAGCTCAAGTTCTTAAAAACTATTTTCCCAAAAGGACATAATTAGTCAGTATTATGTTCTTTCAGAAATTGTACAGTAACCCTGATAAAATACTACAATAGGCACTAGTTTACTAATTAGTAATACTGAAAATGTTATTGTTAAGTTGCTAAATTTACATAAACTTACAAAACAAAAAAAAATTAATACTTATTTTGGTTTTTGATTTTCGTATAGCAGTATGACTTAAAGTAGGTATGTTAAATTTCAATTAAAAATTTTACATGATACATTAAATTTTTACAGTAATATTCGATAAAACTGATGAAAATTTATTTAATCGCTAACACAAAATCATTTACTAAAAAAAATTTGAAAGTGCTAAAACTCAAAGGAGCAAAAAACGTTAGTATTAAACAAAGGAATTCTTTTAAAAAAAAATTTTTTACATTGCGAAAATAATATTTTGAGAAGTAATTTATTCTTAATTGCAACGCATTAGATGGTTACATGAAATTTTTAGCCACTCTGATCAGTGATTTAATTGGTTTCGTCCATTGGAATTGGGGAAAACCCCGTTGCAAATATGTATTATGGTATGTAGTCGTCTATTAAATAACCTCATATATGATGGTTGCAAACGAGAAGTGCCATTTCGTTATATTTCATTAACTATCATATAATAATTTTTTCAAAAGATATTTGTCAGTATCTGAGAATTGCGGATGTGGAATTTAGAAACCACAACCGGAAGTTTTTTTAATATATATAGAATATATATTATTAAGACAAATAATATACCTATATTATATCATGCAATACATATGTTATATAACATGTATAAAGAATGAACTGTTTAAAATTACATTGGAAATTTTCATAATTAAACGGAAATCACTAACATTTTACATTGATATTAGGCTTTGTACACTGACTCGGCCATAACCTGATCGTGACTAATCGTATGTCGTAACTGGAATTTCATTATTATTATTGCTATTAAATTTGATAATAGTTAAAATTAATTTATATTATTAGGTAGGGCACAAAAAATATGCACATGGGCGTTGAATATTTTTACACTATATACTATTTTCCCGCATTTGTATATCTAATGTCATCGATTTACCCTTTTCCTTTATTTTGTTTTTTTTTTTTTTTAGAATCAAGATTTGAGCTATAAAAAAAAAAGATGATAAATCAGTGATGACGTAAACTGCACAAATATGAGAATTTTTAACGCAGTTGTCAATAACATGGCTGCTAAACTATTGAACTCATATAGCGAATTAATTTTTTGAGATTTGACAAGTTATCAATTTTGACAGGATCAGTTAACAGTACTTGAAATAAGCTATTAAAATTGACATAAATATTTTGTTGAATAGAATTTAAGATCTATTATTTAAATCAATAAAATAAAAAAGTTATATTTATATATTTTTGAATATTTAATAAACAAATACAGTTAAACTGAAATATTTCATTTTTTCAATTTTAAATTCATATTATTATATAGATTTTTTAATATTTCATCACTTAAAAAACTAAATGGATTTTCTTTTTTTTGGTTTTGGAGATGTCTTTTTATTTTTTGTTTGTTTTTATTAAAGGTTCATTTATTGGAAGGCTTTTTCTTTGGATCTTTATGGTAATTTTTATATAATTAAAGATGTTTGTTATTTCTTTGAATTTTTCTTCATATTCTTTTCTTGTTTTTTCGCTCAACTAAAAAGTTCTATCCAGATGATATTTTAAAGTTAATTTTTTAAATTGTTTTCTGATTTCTTCAAGAGTATCAGATTTTTTAACATTTCAATATTTTTATGTTTTTTTTAAAAAAAGTTCTAATATCTTTTAAAGTTACTAATAAAATTTGGCCACTTATATTAAAAAAACATAATAAAAAAATAAAAAACATAATAAAAAATCAAAAACATAATAAAATTTTAAATTATTAGCCAATCAAAATTTAGTATTTTGTTTTAAATTTGGCCACTCTAAAAAAAGTTGTTGGTTTAAGGTGTCACACATTGTAATAATAGTAAAATTTTGCACTTTGGTTTGTTACTTGAGATTCTGTAACTATATTGATTCTGATCCAAGAAATTGGAAATTGGAAGCAATCTTCAGATCAAAATTTGCTTGACTTTTTTATAACAACTTATACAAGAAGATCCCAAATTTCAGGGCCAAAACATATTAGAATATTGGTCGGGATTGCTCAAGATTAATGATTTGACCCGGTTAGACAATAATCAGGTAACCGAACCGAACCGAAAAAATCAGATGACCCGGTTAAGCAAAAGCTTAACCGGTTAACCCAGTTATTCGGTTGACCTGATATAATCAGTTGACCCAAATAACTCGGTTGACCCAGTTGACCCAAATAACTCGGTTGATCTGGCTGACCTGATATAATCGGTTGACCCGGTTAACCCGATATAATCAGTTGAATTTTTGTAGCTTAGAGATATGTAGAAGGTAAAATCACTCGTTATAATAATATTGCGAATTGGCATGTCATTTATAAGTATTGTGCTAGTTTACAGCTATTATCATAATTCCTGAAACACCTGATAAAAATTAG